TAAAATAAATTTCAAAATAAACTTCAAAATAAATTTCAAAGATGGAAATGAAGAAAGTTTGAGTTTAGAACGACGAGAGCGAAAAAGTCTCCTTGGCGTTTTGATTTCCATTTAAATAAATATTTATTTTTTTATTTATTTATTTAATTAATTAATTTATTTATTATTTCTAATTGTAATATATTATTCATTTAAACAAATTATTTATTATTTATTTATTTATTTATTTATTTATTTATTATTTATTATTAATTGCAATAAATTGTTCATTTAAATTAAACTTCAAATAAATTCAACTCTGAAAAAACATTTCCGCGAAATTAAAAATCGCAAAAACAAAAACTCCGCCAACTTCTTCAACAGCCAAACACCGCCACTTAAAACCCTTTCAAAACCCTCAAACCCTCAAAACCCTCAAAACCCTTTCAAAACCCTCAAAACCCTCAAAACCCTCAAAACCCTTTCAAAACCCTCAAAACCCTCAAAACCCTTTCAAAACCCTTCCAAAACTCTCAAAACCCTTTCAAAACCCTCAAAACCCTTTCAAAACCCTCAAAACCCTTTCGAAACCCTCGAAAGCCTTTCAAAAACCTCAAAACCCTTTCAAAACCCTCAAAACCCTCAAAACCTCCCCAAAACCCTCAAAACCTCCCCAAAACCCTCAAAACCTCCCCAAAACCCTCAAAACCCTCTCAAAACTCTCAAAACCTCCGAAAACCCTAAAAACCTCCCCGAAACCCTAAAAACCTCCCCGAAACCCTAAAAACCTCCCCTAAACCCTCAGAACCTCCCCAAAACCCTAAAACCCTCCCCAAAACCCTCCAAACCTCCCCAAAACCCTAAAACCCTCCCGAAACCCCCAAACCCCGACCCACCGGACGTGGACCACCTTGTTGATCTGGTCCACCTTGGCGTCGACCAGCCCGTGACCAATGGCCTGGACCACCAACTCCTCGGCCTTGGCCTCGGAAAGGCGCGAAGACTCGCTGAGTTGTTTGAAGGAAAAGTTGCGGCGGCGCTGCAGCGCGGAGGCCACCCACAGCAGCTGCAGCTTGGACGCTGCAGCCTCCCGCTGCAGCCCTGCACACAAACCCTAAACCCTAAACCCTAAACCCTAAACCCTAAACCCTAAACCCTAAACCCTAATCCCTAAAAACCCTTAACCCTAAGGCGTAAACGCAAAACTGTATCTTCTGAATCACAATCTGCTAAGACGTCGAAGTTAAAACATGAACTGACAAACGTATTCATTGCTGTACGAATTAAGTGCATTTGTTGTTCCTTTGAATAGTAAAAAAGATATATAACGCAGCGTAACCCGCAAATCTGAAAAAACTGTCGACTGTTGTCACCGTTCAGCATGTACAGAAGTGACGTGGCTTCTGACCGTAAAGGGCACTTACTCACTGCATAGATAACAGCGTGAGGATCCCTGCTCACTGCTTTTGTTCTCACTTGCGGAGTATAAATGGGAAACATAAAAGTTCCTGAAGTGTGGCCAGCTTAGCTGATCAGCATATGACACCTGCAAGATAGGGTTCAATCGGCAATCGCACGACAGTTTTACAAACTTCGCTTCCAACTGTGTCCTTTTTGACAAAAAGTTGGAATTAAAGAATCCATAACCGTACCAACTATGGGCAACGCAGCGAAATTTTGGAAGCACGATGAAGTGCTCCGTAACAGTCAGCGCACCGGCCTACTGTACTTTTCTGAGCATGGGCTATGCTGCAAGGTGAAGCCATAAACTGCCGTCACAGGAGCAAGACAGTCATGCACAAACAAAGCTCTTTGACTCACAGGTCACCGCATAGAAAACTAATTTCTCCCTGAGCTCCGCGGTAGCGCCATCAGTAGCAGCGTGCTTGGGTAGCTACAAAGCTTACTTGGTTGTGGCAAGCTAATCGCCAGCCTACCCAGTGTAGCAGAATCCATAGTGACGAAGATTAAACCCTTGATTCACATCTCTGGCAAAACGAGAATTTCCAGTTACTAGCTAGCAGAGGAACATAGCCGACTGAATGGTCTTCGGCGCTACCTAGGCAACTAACAAACTCACGACGACAGAAGAGCTGAAAGTCTCTGCAAGGGGCGCTGAACGATGTATGAAGAGGAAACGGAAGAAACCGGAAACAACAGAGATTTAGTAGAAGGAAGACGTTTGCGGAGTGCTGCTCCGAAACAACAAGGTTAGGAAATTGAACGACCGCTTGTAAAGGTCAGACGCACCCCCTACAGATCCAAATGCCGTGGCGTGTACTTCACTTCGCACACTGAATTAGTTTCTATCGACAAAGCTCATCTGCGCCTTTTATGCACCCTCACCAGCAGCAAGGGTGCGCCCACTAGTTAGAACGGATGACTGATCATAGATTGGGTTCTGGCGTACAAACATGACGTAAATCTTTAACAAGTCACATGAACTGCGCAGTGAAACCCCTAGTAATTGCTCTAAGCATGTCCTTTACTTGCCCAATCTTCAGATGCAATACAATCGAGCAGTGCAAACTTGACGAAATGATAACAAAATGAGCAGCAAACAACCCACTCCACAAACAGCGCTTGCAACACTTTATATTGGTTCTACTGCTCTTGTCGAATACGAGCGAAATTTTTATTAACCGTGTAGAAAAGATTTGCACAGCATGAGAATTGTGACACTCCACTGGCGCTGAACCGCTTCTCCCATTGGTGCAGGGAGCTTTTACTAAGCTCTCTACAAATGCACAGTACAAAGATGACGCTTGATGAACCATTAGCTTTGGAAGCGCCACTGTTATACGAAAAATGACCATTTCTTATTGAAACGCTCTCATAGTCAGCTGATACGTCTTCTTCTAAATGCTGAGTTAGTGGCACGCTCATCAGTAGGGACAAGCAGAAGTTCATCCCTCCACAAACTCAAAAATGTGAATTGTTCCAAACCAAGACAGAATTTGTTGAGCAACTGTATTGCAGGATGCACTTGCTGGGGAAGGTATTCTGTTCCTTTACTTCGCACTGTCGAGACGGCGTTTGCAATCACACTTTTACGTCAACTATCGGACAAGTAGTAAGTGAAGCTCATGCGCAAGAGAGAATCGCCTCTGTTGGAAAAAGTGCACTGCTTATGGTGCTCACCACATGCGAAATAGTTATAATCAGAACTAGTGCCAGTCTCATCAAGCATGCGGAATGCCATCTGAAAGCTTCGGCGCCGTTGATTTCAGTAGGGCGTCAGGGTCAGCCTTGTGCTAATAGTCGATGCATAATAGCATATATGCTTAGCTTATAGCCAGAAAATATTGTAACCGCCAGGACAACTCAGAACGCGAAGCCTATTATGTAACTGTGAAGGTGAAGAAGCAATACCTTCTTGTAATGTGCCCTAAATAGGGGACAAAGATCAGCAGCCCCACAGGGCATGCGAGCAACTGAGGTCTTCTTAAAACCTGAAGGCACGAAAGCGCCACCTGCTTGTCAGAAACCTGCGCGTTCAAGCTGCAAAAATGATTCGTAACGCATCAAGACTCCATGTGGTCCCCAATCTAATAACCGCACAGATACCAAGCTTCCATCCATAGCTTTGCCCGAAATACCGATAACACACCTCCATTGGTCAGTGTGTAAAAGCAGCCCTAGAGGCTTGCTAAGGATCTAATGTTTCGAGCGTAACTTTGGTACCTGTTACAATTTTTATTAGTAGAGTTCGGTAAAGCGAAACTCCGTAGACCCCTCACGTCGACCCTTTATCACAACAGGCCTGCATTGACATTTTCAACCTAGTTACGAGAAAACGTTTGATTCCTGTCCGACTGTTCCGTGCTTCTCAAGACGGCACTCTAGCACGGTGAAGAGGGTGTATTCATGCTAGCGAGCTATGGGTTAACATTCTGGTCACCTGTGCTTTTCAGCGTCTCACATTCTAAACGTGCCCAAACACGCAGTCGAGCCTGTTACACAAACTGCAAAGGCAACAGTGCTGCTGAGACCAAGTGCATCAGCTCTACGTCTGTACTGAAACTATATGCCTTTCCGCGCCTTGTGCTTCTCGTTAACACCTGCGCTCGTGTTGTTTGAAAGGAACAGTGACACAAGTTCGGAAGCCACGTTTCTGCAAATTGTGCTCTGGTAAAGCTTCGAAGCAAATTGTGAGAGATGTTTCGGCCTGTTCATCTTATTTTGTCAAATTAGCATCCCAACAAATTGCCGACTTTCCAGATTCGCATGCAGCAGGTGACGCTGGCAGTCGCGTTGACGTCATGTGACTTGTGAAGAATGCTGCTGCTCCCGAGGCTTTAACAGCTGCCATAGAGGCAAGCAGCTTGACATGCTACATCTCATTCGTCCAGCCATTCAAGCTTGCTATGACCTTACTGGTGCTTTCATGGGGATGGCAGCTTGAAGAAGCTAAGATCTGGTACTGCTGCATCTGGGGGGCTGGTCCCGGTGCCTGCCAGTGCAGCGGCAGCAGCAGCAGCAGCAGTTAACTCGGGGCTCTGTCGCACCAAAGATTGACTGATACAACTGTATTCATTTCTGGGTTCCACACTGGGAACTGTGCAAGAGAAGCACGGCTCGCGCTGCAATTGATGAGCATTGTTGTGCTTGTTAACTAGCTTGAATACATTTGAAAGAGCATGTGTACTGCGAAAGCATTAGGCACTAATCGGATTGGCATTCACGCACTAGAATGAACTGCGATTCCTGCGCTAATACCCGTAAATTGCCAATAGCACTGAGCACATGGAGACAGCTGGCGACTCCTCAAAGATGTTAGGAACAAGAGAGTAAATCTGTACTTGTACAATCCATTTCCCATGATGGCCTTGTTAGACTGGAACCCAGTGCAAATGCTGTTATTTATTCCAACAAGCTGTCTCAATGTAAGAGCGTTCACGTCTGACGAATGCTGCGGCAGTTTTGTGTCTGCACTCACATACACGGACAATCAGGTTGGAGAAGTGATGAACCAAGCACAGATGGAAGGGATACAACATACGACATATACATACGTAGATATTGCAACGAAACAAAAGGTCTTCATTGTATGCAAGCCACCCAATTCATACTCAGTCTATTTTGCGGAAAGTTTGCCGCGGATGCATGTCACTGACTGGTAGCTGCAGAGATTCATGCAGTGTTGGTCCTAACAGCATATCCTGACGCTGTCAAAAGACTCATTTGCTGCCACTCAAAAACCAAGACCACCCATTCGAAAGCTGATGCCTGAACGCGGCAAAGCTAATGCTGACTTTTGTGCTGCAAGGATAGATAAATCAAAATGGCCATGACTGCAAGAGCAGAAACGACTAGTGACACCACACCATACGAGAACTACACCTACAACATATGTGATGGCAATCAGCGCTCATACTCATGGCTCCTGCATATCTTCCGCTTCTCCACACGCGTCTGCTCTCTATGTTTGTGCAATTTAATAGTTCATGCGCGTTGCTTTTCGTGAAGCTCACTACCTTTGTCACCGCATTAAACCACACCACACGTGGCATGCGGCATGCAGAGATGGCACAGTGAAGGCGGTTTAGCACTGAAAAAGACAAATTATTCAGGCGCCGTGGTTGAACCGAATTCAAAAAATAGCGACAAAGCCACAAATGCATTGCGAAACTCTGGGCGCTCAAGCATCTATATCCAGCTCACTAGAGGAGGTTCAAAGCACTGTCGTCACTCTTGCAGACTTAACGGCTATTGGAGAGAGAAATCAGGCTAATGTTATCACCAAGGAACAACTATTATTTCTTTTCGGGAAGTTCTCACGATTAGCTGGCATTATTTTTCGTAAATACGAAACTGCAATCATAAATCTCACCAGGATCCAGCAAGAATTGATTCGCCGAGTGGAAAGCTGCGTGAGTGACAAAGGATGAGTATAAAACCGAGGAAATAAAAGTTTCCGAACATTAGCACAGCGTGCTTAGCATCCTGGTAAAGGCTGCCTGCACGTTCACTAACACTGCTGCAAGGGAGCGCACTTTCACTTCATAAATGAAAGAGCAAAGGCAGCCAACATTTAAGAGAGAGAACTGGTTTCATTCACCAGGTGAAAGACTTCACCGCAAAAGCAAAGCGCCCGATAGTAACGGCCGCCAAGCGCCTAGCCATCACGGGAATTATTATTCCAATCCACATACATTAACTGCCAGCGCATGCGCCTCAGCAATGTACTAGCCGATGGGCGATGGGCTCAACGGCTTAGATATGACCAAAGAAGTTTATAATCGCCAGCACAAAATAAATGCTATTAGCGAATTTTTTCGGTGACAAGGTAGCACCATGTCTAAACGTGATATGGACAGAGAACGAAATGCAGCAAAAGCACAGGGAATGCCAGCGCCCAACACTCACTAAAAACCAGATTCAGAGACGTTAACCCTTTTGGAGAAAATCCTGCGACTGAACCGCGAAAAAGAAACAAAACGATATTGCATAAAGCTGTGTGGTGGTCGTTAATCTAACTAAACGCACAAATTCCACTTTGCTTCCTAGAGTTTCATCCCAGATCTCGATAATAGATCTGCATTGGTGAAGATGTGAAAGCAGCATAAGGGACTCTCTAATACTCGAATACTATCAGCAAGACAACAGCGTACATTTTTATGGGCGAGTTTGGTTTACGAAGCCCAACTGTCCCGTCATGTGGACGCTTTGTCACTAACAAGCCTGTATTTAAGTCTTCTGTGTGCTCGTGGACAACCGATCGATTCCTGTGATATTGCAAAGCGGTTCTCAGGAAAACGTCTTAGCCAGGAAAGATGGAGCATTCATGTTCGTAACTCGATGCAGATGCCTCTGTCAACATATGCCTGTGTTGATGACTACAGCATAGGAATGAATAAACAATAGATCCCTTTGTGTCAGCCGAGACTTTTCTTTGCTCAAGCATACTGCCTGCGTTTTCCCCACGACTTCTAATACACTGAGTGCGACTAACAGCTGAGATCCAACAATTCGGGCCTACACTGTGAAGGAATGGAGCGCTTGCGTGTTCTTAGCATCACGGTACAAAGCAAAAGAAGAAGGCGGCTTGTCACGTGCTGCCTTATGCCGTATGCTTGTCATTTGTGCTTAAATAAGGCTTTTGAACACAGTAGCAGAAACTGTATCGATCGAATCTGCCATACTGAGCCAGTGCATGCATTTCAATTGGGAGGTAGGTAGCGAAATGGCACAAAAAAGATTGAAGTATGTGACTGGTACGACGGTAGTCTCATAATAGATGTTATAGCACTTCTGCAGCAGCCAACATCATGTTTCTACATTCTCAGCCCACACCAGACGAATATTTGGTTTTCAGTCATTAACTGCAACGGGCCGGACAGCTCCGCAGGTTCTAAGTTACTTCAAAGGGCGTAACCCCAACAATATCGTCCGCGGCACTTACTGCAAAAGTCCATGATTTTGTCAGTTCTGAATTGCTCGTTTCCCCTTCGCGAATCAGCAATATCCTTTTTTTTAAAAACACGTAGCAAGACCAGTGACGAAGCAAGAATTTCCAATACATACCAGAGCAGTCATCTAGCAGCAACGGTGTCCACATACCTTCTATAGTTGGCGGAGACCGCTAGCATGGCCATAAGCACCATGACAAAAGGTCTCGACGTCTAGTGGCAGTAACAAAACGCTGGAGTTCGGCCCGTATGGCTCTGACTGGAAAACGGAGCATAGTAGCTGCATGGTACGGATGCATGCGCGTTCTGGAGTATGCCGAACGTGCAGCAATACGCGCGAGACAATTTCCGTGGAAGCAGCCAATTTTTAAACCAATTACAAGCTAAATCAGGCTGCCAGCTTTCGCTCACAGCGTTGACAAAGGGCCAAAGGACCAGCGCCCAAGGCCTTGTTCTATTTGCCGACAGTTGCCTCTTCCAAATGCAGCACAAATGTTCAATGAGCCTCACTGAGCTTAATGCGAATTGTAGGACGCCCTCAAGGACTCAGCCTGATTGTGAATGCACAAAAACATTTCCTGCAATTTCATTATTCTACAGAAGGGCTGTTCAGTCTTCTGGTGTGCAACCATAAACTCATGGTGATCAAGATTCTTCAGCTTCTTTTTGCATGTTTGCGCTTGCGTATTCTTGGCATCCAGATACGTCGCAAGACAACAAAAGGGCAGCTTGCCACGTGATGCCGATATGCCTTGTGCTTGTCATTTGTGCTTAAATAAGGCTCTTGAGCACAGCCTGATTGTGAATGCACAAAAACATTTCCTGCAATTTCATTATTCTACAGAAGGGCT